ACTTGTGCATTTTTGCAGACCAGGACTCTCCCCCTGCTCAAGTGCACGGCCGAGTTGCGGCGTCCGAGTCTAAGGCACCCATGATGGTCATGTACCGTGATCCCAGCATGGGCCTGTGGCGGGGCCCGGCAGAAGTGAAGTACATGGGGCGAGGTTATATGTGTGTGCTCATGTCCACAGGTACACAGGTCCCCGCAAAGTGGACTAAAACAGTGTCTTTATCTTCCCCTGCTCTTCCTGATAGTAATGAAGGCTCCGAAAATGGCCAGTTATCTGCCTCCGCAGCCCAAGACCAACGGGTGGGCGACAATGGTTAAGCTTAGGGGGCAGAACACCATTTGCCTCGCCTTATCGTCCCCTGGCAACCCGTTTTCAACCTGTTTGGTTGGTGTTCCTATAGGTGACTGGCCCTGCCCGTCCACCATACCGTGTGTAGCACTGCCAACCTCAACAGCACAACAGACAATTGGGACGCTTGGGTACCCTATTTGCCTATTGCCCCAAATGAGCCTCAGGAGTTAGAATTATTAGGGGCCGTGCGAACGGATGCCTGTGTGACACTTAGTTGGACAAGCGCCCAAGCCAAGGTGAATGGTACCGCGACAAATGTAAATTCTAGTCCTTTACAGGAACACCAGCGTGTGGTGCAGGTATGCTTCCCGCAACACTTCCCGCTCTACCGATCATCCCCTGAAGTTGCCCAGTGGAATGTTCCTGATTTGTGGCGATCGAGCCTGGCCTGTTATTCCCTCTAAAATGAAAGGGGGACCTTGTTCTATTGGAAGACTGACACTGTTGGACCCCAACACTTCAATAATTCCTGATATGTCTTGACAGCACCATTTAAGGCGCTTAAAACACTTTGTACATAGTTTTACTGCTAACTGTAGATCTGATGTAAAGTTTTGGTCACCTGACACTATTATAGCAACTTCTTTACTCATGCCAGGTGTGGCTTCGGCCAGGGCCTTGGTTCAATTAAACAGACTGGGTTGCTGACTTGCTAAGCAGACAAATACTACATCGAAGGCAATTTCTGATTTGTTGTTTGATGTTGATTCTGTGAGACATGCAGCACTGCAGAACAGAGCCGCTATAGACTTTTTGTTGTTGGCACAGGGACATGGATGTGAGGAGTTTGATGGAATGTATTGTATGAATCTTTCTGATCATTCTAATTCGATACATGCACAGCTGAAAACCCTGGCTCAGCTTACCCAGCAATTGCAAGTGAGCAGTGACCTAGGGATAACTAAATGGTTGTCCTCATGGGGCATTACAGGTTGACTTAAAACACTGCTATTCGAAGGACTGCATTTATGTATCATTGTTATTTCAGTCATTGTAGTTGTTAGACTTGCTTATAGTTGCGTGATGAAACAGGTGAACAGAGCGACCCGCAATGTTTTGCTTGCACAAAAGAAAAAGGGGGGAATTGTTGCAGAATGGCTGCAAGAGCAAGGCCATGGATCCTTAGAGGCCTTGTATGAACAAAGCAAGGTGTAGGCCTCACAGGTAACCAGAAACCAGATGTGGGAGGAGAATGTGAAGGAAGCTGTGTAGAACTAACCAATACTGTTGTGACTAGGAGGCGTGGCTAAACGCCACGCAGATATAAGCAAAGTGCACCACAAATAAAGTAGAAGCTTGCTTATCACCCATATTGGGTTGGTGTGTCTTGCTTCTCCTCGCCGCTAACAAGTATTAAATTAAATCCACATTTTTAAGTGTCACATCTTCGAAAAAATAAATGCCACCTGTTGCTTCAATGCTCTTGCTGTTCATTTCTAAATACCTCAACTGAAAAAAATAAAGTATACATAATTTGGGTTAGAAAATGTAGTAGAATATTCTAAAAAGTAGCAGTTACAATGGTTATTGATTGAGGTTAGATATGGTCCAAATGTGAATTTTTCTTTCACTGGCTGCATGATGCAGTTCCTCACCTTTGCTTTCTTTGCTACTATTGAGTGTCATCTCCTGGCCATGATGGCCTATGACCGGCACGTTGCTATCTGCCAGCCCCTGCATTATGTGACCATCATCTCCAGCCGCGTCTGCTGGCAGCTGGTAGTATCGTCCTACCTATTTGCCTTCCTCAGTGCCATCATCTACACATGGTGCCTGTTTGGAGGTTCCTTCTGTGGACCCAAACACATTGACCGTTTCTTCTGTGACATCGTACCTGTGCTTAAACTCCTCTGCCCTAATAAATACAATAGCGAGATGGTCATCTTTGCCTTTCCCACCACCAACGTGGTCATGAGCGTGGTCATTTTGCTCTCCTACATCTCTATCATCCGCACCGTGCTGAGGGTGTGCCCAGCACAGAGCAGGGCCAGAGCCTTCCACACCTGTGCTTCCCATTTGACAGCTGTTGCCTTATTTTTGGGGACATCATTCTTCATGTACCTACAACCTCCATCTAGCCACAGGAGCCTGGAAAAGGTGGCCTCCATCTTCTACGCTTTGCTCACCTCCATGCTCAACCCATTCATCTACAGCCCGAGGAACAAGGAGGTGAAGGCAGCTCTGGTCAAGTGTGAGAGGAGATTGCTCAGCAGATGGCAACATAAAAGAGTTGTATCACCTAGTACACCAAGTTCATCTTAAGTGAGAGACTTTGGGACACTAAAACAATGGGATTTTCCACTGATCCTCATCATTTTATATAGGTTCATCCACAATTCTTGCACATGAGTCAATGACAGTATTGAATGAGAAATACACACCACAAATCACATCTTCCTTGGAAAGAAACTAAAAGGAAAGGAACCTCAAACTTCATTTCACTTCACAGTCACCAGCCTGTGGGAAGAGATTACCTTCAATTATACCAGGCCTCTTTTCCTCACAGGAAACACCAATCAGCTTTATTCAGTTACAGGTTTTGTCACTGATAAATGTTTGTTTTCCTTGCAAGATTCGTGACCTTGTCCCTCACCTCCAATAAAATTCCTCACTCTTACCTGTGAGTTCTTTCGGCCTGGGAACAGCACTGACAGCACTGACGTTTTTAGTTACTGCTCACATGTTTAGACTGACCAAGGACTGTGAGTCTCATGCTCTGCTAGGGAGGAGGGGAAGCCGGGAGGAAGCAGAGACAGGACACCTGACCCAAACTGACCAAAGAGGTATTCCATACCACAGCACGTCATGCCCAGGATGTAACTGAGAGTTACCTGGAAGGGCTGGGATTGCAGGGTTGGACGAGGTACTAGTTGGTGCATGGTTGGGCTGGGGGGATGGAGGAGTTATCAGTCAGTGGGTGATGAGGTTTTGTATTCTCTTCCCTTGTTATTTCCTTTATTATTATTGGTGGTGTTTTGTGTTATACATTAGTTACTAAACCATTCTTATCTCAACCAGTGGGAGTTCCATTCTTCTGATTTTCTTCCCCATCCCTCTGAGAGCAGGGGGAGGGCAAGGGGGGGGGGGAGTGCGGTGCGTATGTGTGTGGGAGAGAGACTGTGTGCCTGGGTTTAAACCCAGTTTTCAATGTCAATCTTTTTTTCTGCTGGAAGGCACCAGACTGACAGTCCAGGAGATGCACTGCAGGAGTGTAGAACAGGATTTCTGAGTGGTTTTGAATGTCTTTCTTACCCATGGGGTACTGGGCTAAAACCAAGGCTTGAGACGTGGGAAGATCAATATAACAGAGGGAGAAATAACTCTCAATCAATTTTGGAAACAAGAAAAATATGTAATTCAAAGATTATTGAAAAGAACTACATGAAGGCAAAAAAAGCCACTAAGAATACCTGGGTGCGCTTGTGCAGGGGGAATAATGCAGCTTGAAGTCCCAGATACAGTCAGCTGGTTATTGCACTTGCTCCATCAGCTTCATCAGGGGACCCAGGCCAGCAGCACCTTGGCTGTTCAGGGGTGAGGAAGACCCCAAATCCTCTCTCCCACCAGCACTAAGGCTCTTTGTACCCCTGCTTAAATTCACAGCAGAGCAGAGGCTCAGATATGACTTGTCCTTATTTAGCACAAGGGCTTTGTTGACCAACAGACTGTCAGAGATTTATTTCACAGAATCCCAGCCTGGTTTGTGTTGGAAGGGTCTTTAAAGCTCGTCCAGATCCAATCCCCCTCCAACGGGCAGGGACACCTTATGCTAGAGCAGCTTGCTCCAAGCCCTGTGTCCAACCTGGCCTTGAACACTGCCAGGGATGGGGCAGCCACAGCTTCTCTGGGCACCCTGTGCCAGCACCTCAGCACCCTCACAGGGAACAGCTTCTGCCTAAGAGCTCATCTCAGTCTCCCTTCTGGCAGGTTCAAGCCATTCTCCTTGGCCTGTCCCTACAGGCCCTTGTCCAAAGCTCCTCCCCAGGTTCTTGTAGCCCCTTTAGGTACTGGAAGCTTCTCTGAGGTCTCCACACAGCTTCTCTTCTCCAGGATGAAAAGACCCAATATTATCAGCCTGGCTCCGTACGGGAGGTGCTCCAGCCCCAGATCATCCTCGTTGCCTCCCCTGTACTTGCTTCAGCAGCTCCGTGACCTCCTTGTGTTGCAGACGCCAGAGCTGTATCAAATCCTCTTGACCTTCCCGCAGTTCATCATTGAGAAAATGCTTATCAAGCAGGCAATGGAGACAGTGGTCAGTGCCTTATGTGAAGTCTGAGCCTCCTTTTTGTGGGCTCTACTTTCATTTAGCACAATAAAGACACAAAAAAACAAGGTGGTGTCTCAGGGCTGCTATTGAGGAGCTGATACTTATTTGGATGAAATATTGAATTCTCAGGCCACACTTAAAACCACCTGAGGCTCTTTGAAGAGAACCATTTGTTGTGCAGGTTCTCCATACCCTGCACTTGCTTTGTGATCTCCTTAACTGTAATAATGACCAATAGGGACCAATAATGACAAATAATGGCCAGTAATTACCAAATCCATGACCACCTGTTTCTTCCTTACCTCCACAGTACTGAAGAGCTCCAAATGTGCTTTCAAACCCTGCATAGATGTGGCAGCAGCTTTCGCTCCCACAGCCTCCTCAGAGCCCCCTTCACCTCCTTGTTCCTCAGGCTGTAGATGAGGGGGTTGAGGGTTGGGGTGAGGATGGAGTAAAACAGCGACACCAGCTTTGCCTGATCCCATGAGGATGCCTCATGAGGCTGGACATAGGTGAGGATCCCGGGTGCATAGAAGATGGTGATGGCAGCCAAGTGGGAGGTGCAGGTAGAGAAGACCTTCAGCCTCCTAGTGGCCAAAGGGATCTGCAGGACGGTGTGGAGGATGTAGGTGTAGGACACCAGGATCATCAGGAGAGAGACCATGGCATTAAACACACTGTTGTAAACCTGCAAGACCTCATTTGTGCTTGTGTCTGAGCAGGAGAGCTGCAGGAGGCTGGGCAGCTCACAGAAGAAGTGGTTGATGCTCCTGGCCTGACAGAAGGACAACCTCCCTGCCAGCGTGATGTGCACCAGGGAGGTGAGGAACCCGATGGTGTACACCAGCACCATCATGCCATAGCAACGCGCCCTGGTCATGGTAGTGGTGTAGAGCAGGGGCTTGCACACAGCTGTGTATCTGTCGTAAGCCATTACCCCATAGAGAAAGCTCTCACAGATAGCCAGAGCGAGGAAAATATACATCTGGGCAAAGCAACCCCAAAAGGAGATGTGGCTTCTCCCCAGCAGGAAGGTCTCCAGAGCTTTTGGGATGATAGCGGAGGAAAGGCAAAAATCCATGCAGGATAAGTGGGTCAGGAAGAAGTACATGGGGATGTGGAGGTGGGGGTCAGTGTTGATCAGCAGGATCATCGTCACGTTCCCCAGCACCATTAAAACATAGAGGGATAAGAAGACTGTGAAGATGGTGGTTTGTAGCTCTGGGGCATCAGAGAAACCCAAGAGGATGAAGCTGTTTAGAACAGTGAGGTTTCCTGTATCTGTCATTTCAACAAGTTGATGGATTTGGATTGAAAAGAATCAGTGAAATACACCCCTAGAAGAGAAATAATGTGGAAGTTTAGTTGGAATATAATCCATAAAGTAAATGCAATGGAAAATGGTGCATTTGTAATGCTGTATTTCTGTGTGCAGCCCAAGATCTGAAGTCAGAGAAGTGAAGGAGCTAATTACAAAACCTGAAATTAAAAGAGAATAATTCCACCATGATTGATATACACTTCACTAATGATACACAGGGAAACATCATGTCTATCAAAGTGTAATACAATAAAATCTAATAAATACATCTCAGAATGTGGAAAACAGAAAAGATTTTGTATTTTCTTCACTGATTTCTGGGAATTTTAAGGATTTTTTTTCTCCTTTTTGTATTTTTCAGAGTGGATCACTGCTCTTCTGTAGCTTCTTTACTTGTGCTGCATTGTTTTCATCACAACACAAAGCCATGTACTTGAAATTTTCTTTTGGTTCTAAGTTTATCTGCTTTTGAGGGACCCTCACCCTGAATAATGTTAAGGGAAAGCAGTGGTCTTGGCTCCAGCAGAGCTCTGCTGTGATTGCAGTGAGCTTCCTACGACCAACCCAAATAGCCACCTAAGGGTTTAAAATACAAAATACACCAAATATAAAGGAAAATTTTAAGGCTTTAGCTTGGATATTCTCATGCTAAAATATCGCTAAATCAGTTGTAGATGGGGTCAGGAATATTGGTGTTTTTGAAGCAAATCTACTAGGCATTCTAGGACACTTTTATTCACACCATGGGTTATCATGGGATGCTTTGGGTTGATGGGACCTTAAAGCTTACCCAGATCCAAACCCTCCCACGGGCAGGGACTCCTTCCACTAGAGCAGCTTGATCCAAGCCCCTGTGTCCAACCTGCCCTTGAACACTGCCAGGGATGGGGCAGCCTCAGCTTCTCTGGGCACCCTGTGCCAGCACCTCAGCACCCTCATAGTGAAGAATTCCTTCCTTACATCCAATCTGGATCCCCCCTGTTTCAGTCTGAACCTATCACCCCTTGTTCTTTTCTCAGCACCCTCACAGTAAAACACTTCTTCCTTTTCTCCAAACTGAATTTTCCTGTTTCAGTTTAAACCCATCACCCCTTGCCCTATCGCTACAGTCCCTGAAGAAGAGTGAAATTCAACATGCCATCATGCATGTGAGAGGCAGCATGACCAGGGTCAAACTGGACCCACCACCCATCAAACCCTTTTGTACCTGCTTGGTTAAAGAGGAAGGTGGTGGTGGATGCAGTGCCTGCAGCTCATCCTGGAGTCCATGCAATGGGTTGAAGGAGAGATGCTTGGGAGCAGGATGCTCCAGGCTGGCTGCTGGAGGGGTTTTATCTCACAGGAGGCATTACCTCAGAGGCTTGTGTTGTGCAAACTGTCCTCCCAAAGGACCCTCCTCCATCGGATAATTAGTTTGACTTGATCAGCAAAACAACCTCTCAATTCTTCTCTCCCCAAACTCCTTCTGGCTGCATCAGCACCTCCAAGACCAGTTCTCCTGCAGAGACCTACCCCTGAAGACAGGCCCAGGACAGTTTGCTTTGTATTTCCCCATCTATCACATACCTCTTCCTTTCAGTGTTTCCCTGAAGAAGCCCTTTACTTCCACAGGGATCATCTAATATTGCATTGAAGGGAGCTGAAAACAAGCACAACAAAGCATCCTCTCTGTGGATGGTTTGTGCTGGTCCTGGGGAGCCCTTTCCAGGGGACCCAGGCCAGCAGCACCCTGGCTGTTCAGGTGGAAGCAGGACCCCAGATCCTCCCACCTAACAGCACTCAGGCCTTTTACACCCCTACTTAAATTTGCAGCAGAGCAGATGCTCAGACATGACTTCTCCCCATTTAGCACAAGGGCTTTGTTGACCAACAGACTGTCAGAGCTTTATTTCTTAGAATCACAGCCTGTTTTGTGTAGGAAGGGAGCTTAAAGGGCATCCAGTTCCAACCCTTGCCACGGGCATGGACACCTTCCACTAGAGTAGCTTGCTCCAAGCCCCTGTGTCCAACCTGGCCTTGAACACTGCCAGGGATGGGGCAGCCACAGCTTCTCTGCGCACCCTATGCCAGCGCCTCAGCACCCTCACAGGGAAGAGCTTCTGCCTAAGAGCTCATCTCAGTCTCCCCTCTGGGAGGTTAAAGCCATTCCCCTTGGCCTGTCCCTACTGGCCCTTGGCCAAAGACCTTCTTCAGGTTTCCTGTAGGCCCCGTCAAACACTGGAAGCTTCTCTGAGGTCTCCACACAGCTTCTCTTCTCCAGGCTGAGCAGACCCAATGTTCTCAGCCTGGCTCCATATGGGAGGAGCTCCAGCCCTTGACCATCCTCGTTGCCTCCTCTGGACTTGCTCCAGCAGCTCCAAGTCCTCCTTGTGTTGGGGACATCAGAGATGTATCAAACCCTTTGGTCCTACCCTCAGTTCATAGAATCATAGAATCGTTAGGGTTGGAAAGGACCTTAAGATCATCAAGTTCCGAAGCCCCTGCCGTGGACAGGGACACCTCACACTAAACCATATCACCCAAGGCCTCGTCCAACCTGGCCTTAAACACTGCCAGGGATGGAGCATTCACAGTCTCCCTGGGCAACCCATTCCAGTGCCTCACCACCCTCACAGGAAGGAATTTCTTCCGTATATCCAACCTAAACTTCCCCTCTTTCAGGTTTAACCTGTTGCCCTTGTCCTATCACTACAGTCCCTAATGAAGAGTCCCTCCACAGCATCCCTATAGGCCCCCTTCAAATACTGGAAGCTGCTCTGAGGTCTCCACGCAGCCTTCTGTTCTCCAGGCTGAACAGCCCCAACTTTCTCAGCCTGTCTTCATACAGGAGGTGCTCCAGTCCCCTGATCATCCTCGTGGCCTCCTCTGGACTTGTTCCAACTGTTCCATGTCCTTTTTATGTTGAGGACACCAGAACTGCACACAATACTCCAGGTGAGGTCTCACAAGAGCAGAGGAGAGGGGCAGGACCACCTCCTTCGACCTGCTGGTCACGCTCCTTTGGATGCAGCCCAGGATACTGTTGGCTTTCTCGGCTGCAAGCACACAATGAAGCCAGCTCATGTTCATTTTCTCATCAGCCAACACCCCCAAGTCCTTCTCTGCAGGGCTGCTCTGAATCTCTTCTCTGCCCAACCTGTAGCTGTGCCTGGGACTGCTCCGACCCAGGTGTAGGACCTTGCACTTGGCATGGTTAAACCTCATGAGGTTGCCATCAGCCCACCTCACAAGCGTGTCAAGGTCCCTCTGGATGGCATTCCTTCCCTCCAGGGTATCAACCAAACCACACAGCTTGGTGTCATCGGCAAACTTGCTGAGGGCGCGCTCAATCCCACTGTCCATGGCAGCGACGAAGATGTTGAACAAGACCGGTCCCAACACCGATCCCCGAGGGACACCACTCGTTACTGGTCTCCAGCCGGACATTGAGCCATTGACCACAACTCTTTGTGTGCGGCCATCCAGCCAGTTCTTTATCCACCGAGTGGTCCATCCATCAAATTGATGTCTCTCCAATGTAGAGACAAGGATGTTGTGTGGGACCTTGTCAAACGCTTTGCACAAGTCCAGGTACATGCCATCAACTGCTCTACCCCTGACCATCAGTTCTGTAGCCCCATCATAGAAGGCCACCACATTGCTCAGGCAGGATTTCCCCTTAGTGAAGCCATGCTGGCTGTCACTCAGCACCTTGTTGATTTTCATGTGCCTTAGCATGCCTTCCAGGAGAACCTGCTCCAAGATTTTGCCAGGCACAGAGGTGAGACTCACTGGTCTGTAATTCCCCGGGTCATCCATTTTCCCCTTCTTGAAAATGGGGGTTATATTTCCCTTTTTCCAGTCATGGGAACTTCACCTGACTGCCATGATTTCTCAAATATGGTGGCCAGTGGCTTCGCAACTTCATTCACCAGCTCCTTCAGGACCCGCAGATGGATCTCATCAGGACCCATGGACACGTGCACGTTCAGATTTTTAAGATGGTCTCGAACCAGTTCCTCTCCTACATTGGGCCCAAGGTCTTCATTCTCACAGTCCCTGCATCTGCTTTCCGAGACTTGGGTGGTTTGTTCAGAGCCTTTGCCAGTGAAGACTGAGGCAAAGAAGTCATTCAGAACCTCAGCCTTCTCCAAGTCCTGCGTCGCTAGTTTTCCCGAGAGCTTCCTGAGGGAGCCTACGTTCTCCCTTGTCTGTTTTTTATTTGCTATGTACCTGTAGAATCCCTTCCTGTTTTCCTTAATACCCCTAGCCAAGTTTAATACTAACTGGGCCTTAGCTTTCCTAACCTAGTCCCTAGCTTCCCGGACAACATCCCTGTACTCTTCCCATGCCACCTGTCCTTGCTTCCACCTATTATAAGCCTCTTTTTTCATTTGAATTTTCCCCAGGAGCTCCGTATCCATCCAAGGAGGTCTCCTGGCCATCCTGCTGCACTTCCTTCTAGTTGGGATGCAACACTCCTGAGCTTGTAGCAGGTGATCCTTGAATATCAACCAAGAGTATTGGGCCCCTCTGCCCTCTAGGGCTGGATCCCATGGAACCTTCCTAAGCAGGTTCCTGAAGAGGCCAAAGTCTGCTCTTTTGAAGTCCAGGGCAGTGAACTTGCTGCACAC